TCTCCCCTACACACTTACTATCTCCACTACACACTTACAATCTCCAGTACAACCTTACTATCTCCAGTACAACCTTACTATCTCCACTACACACTTACAATCTCCAGTACATCCTTACCATCTCCAGTACAACCTTACCATCTAACCCATCCACCACCTTCCCACCTAACCCACACTCAACCCACCATTCCCAAAACTAACCCACACTCAACCCACCATTCCCAAAACTAACCCACACTTAGAAAGTTAAACCCTAACCCAACACCTTCGTCCTCCATGGAGGCTAAGACCGGCCCTCTTTCTCTCTTTTTCTTAACACTTCCAACCTCACTAAATTTTTTTCATCTCGGATATTATTTTCAGCTTCATCGTCGCAGATGATGTTTTTGCAAATTTCCTTCAGAATGGATAAGGAAAAGGACAACCGACTTCCCGAAGTCGAGGACTCGTCCGACGACGAAGATTATTTGACTATCTCCCTCCCATCGGCAGAGGATCTCCGAAAAATCAGAGACAGGGTGATTCTGAACAGCAAATTCCACCAGCGGTTCCGGCAGAACACGGCCCAGAAGACGGTGAAAAGTGCACCCGCGCTGCCTCCCTGCCAACCTCGTGTCCAGGTTGATAGCACACGCATGCCACAACTTCAGGTGCCATCACTAGGTCAGATGAAGCCCTCTTTCAAGGTCATTCCCCAGGACAATACTGACCTACGCCAACCTCGTGTCCAGGTTGATAGCACACGCATGCCACAACTTCAGGTGCCATCACTAGGTCAGATGAAGCCCTCTTTCAAGGTCATTCCCCAGGACAATACTGACCTACGCCATTTTCTCACCGCTGTTAAGCTTACCGAAGCACCCCGACCCATTTCCGAGAGACTGTCCTGTCCTGGGGACAGCCGGAAAAGGTTTGAGAGGGACTGGCATGGACAGACTAGCCAGGGAGGGAATAGGAACGGTATGACCCAGAAGCGTTCCCGGCTTGAACACCGTCTTGGGCCCGCAGTCACAACCGAACGCATGTCAGAAAGGCTCTACTACGGCAATGAAAGCCACGGCAATCGGCGTTGTAGCGTTAAGCAACGGCTTGGATACTGAGCGTTAAGCAACGGCTTGTGTCATGTAACTGTACACCCTGTAATTAAATAAATAAATAAATAAATAAATAAATAAATAAATAAATAATAAAAAAAAAAGTGTGTGTGTGTGTAATTACCTAAGTGTAGTTACAGGATGAGAGCTACGCTGGTGGTGTTCCGTCTTCCCAGTACTCTTTGTCATATAACGTTTCGAAACTACTGACGGTCTTGGCCTCTACCACCTTCTCACCTAACTGTTCCAACTGTCTACCACTGTTTGCGATAGTGGGTCTTCTAATGTTTTCTCGGCGGCTTTGTTCAATTAGTTTTAACCTATGTTTTCTTGTTCATGAAGCTGCCATTTTTTAAAACTTCCTCGTCAATTTTAGTCGTTTCCTGTTACTTATCATATCTCCTCTCTTTTTCTGTTATTATCCAGCTGGTACATTTAACGGTGCCAACCTCTCCTCGGTAGAGCGGCGGTCACGCTTCTTTCAAGTCGGCGTTCAATCCCCGACTGTCCACAAGTGATTAGGCACCATTCCTTCCTTCTTTCCTATCCTAAATTCTTATCAACATATTCTTTCCAATTGTTACACAGTATAGTCGAAATGGCTTAGTGATTTCTCCTTATAATTACCTTACATTTTGTTTTTCAGTTCCAGAAGCCATTTAGTTGGATGTCTTTGCACCTTTTCTGGCTTAGTGATTTTTTTTTTAATATAGGCACCATACAACGCTGCATATTCCACTTTTTGTCTCACAAAGGTTGTGAATAAATTCTTTAATATTTCGCCATCCACGTATATAAAAGCTATACTAAAGTTGGAAAGTGTAGCATAGACTCCTATCTCATGTGTGCTTTATGTGGTCTTCAGGTGACAGTTTTGTTATCCAGAACCACCCCCAAGATCTCTTTATCAGACTTCTTTAAAGTCTTTTCACAAAATTTGTAGGTTGTATGTGTCCTATTTCCTCCTATTCCACATTCCATAACGTGGAATTTATTCACATTAAATTCCGTTTGCCAAGTGTTGCTCCATACACATATTTCGTCCCAGTCTTCCTGAAGGGCAGGATAATCATCTTCCCCTATTATCTTGGCATCATCAGCAAATATATTCATATAATTCTGTGTTCCCTCTTGTTGATATAGACAATGAACATAACTGGCGCTAGAACTGAACCCTGTGGTACTCCGCTAGTAACGCTTCCCCCTGTCTGATTGATTCATTTCTTATGATTACTGCTTTCAATTTTCTGTCTGAAAATATTGTCATTCATTTCAAAGTATCCTTGTCAATCCTCCAGCAAATTCCAGTTTCCAGAACAATTTTTTATGGATTGCTGTCAACCCAAGTTATAAATGCAGTCAACCCAATCATCTCTCTGTAAAAGCTTTGTGAGTATGAAGTGTGTGTGTGTGTGTGTGTGTGTGTGTGTGTGTGTGTGTGTGTTTTTCACCTAGTTGTGCTTACGGGGGTTGAGCTCTGCTCTTTCGGCCCGCCTCTCAACTGTCAATCAATCAACCATAATCGGCCATAATTTATAACCCATCAGTAAAGCATAGAATATTGTCCCTATCTACTTAGTGTAACACCGCTCTATTGTAACACCACCAATTGTACCACTATAATGGAACACCACTATAATGGAACACTACTTATCTTGAGTAACACTTCCTCATCGGTTGCACTTGATAACACTGTTATGAGCTGACATATGATGGTTACGCCGGAACAAAAGGTACACTGCCAATAAGGAAATGCTAACACAAGGATTAAATACGCTGCCACCATCTGCCTTTGACCATTGAAACTATATCAAGCAACGAGGCAAGAAACATTGCTTGACTTGGAGAGTACTTTCTATGACTGTCATTAATTATGAAAACGGTTGTAAGCCACTATATCCAAAAGGTGGTGGCACCGTTACATTAGTTAAACGATATTGTTTGTTCTAGAATAACTGTTCTCAACTAGTATTAACCAAAAAAATATTAAATGACTACGAACAATCCAATTATTAAACCTTATTGCAAAATTTTGAATCATTATGCGATTCAGGCGCTTTCGTAAATTTATGAAATATTGCTTGCAAGAACTGGTAATCATATTTGTAGCTTTGGAATAGGCAAGTGCAAAAAACGATATCTAAACGATATCCAGATATATGCTTTACCAGCCGAAGACCCGGTGTTGCTGGGATGAAGAGCAGGGTTTCGAACTCACCGAGTCTCCGGCAGCCCGTCCTCCAAACAAAGATCCAAAAGTGATTCCATCCACCCACCAAACCCCCTGTTTATGAATGAAAAGCAATTTACACACGACTCACAACTGCTGACGTTCGAACATATCCGGAGCAAGTGCTTCACTGACGAATTTTGTTCGAATCACAACGCTATAAATGCTTCACCCACGTACTACAAATACAAATAATCGCCAACAGAACCTAAACACCTAACCTAACCTATCCTATGCCTATATATGCACAATATGCTAATATATTATAATATTAATTTATACTTGAGAAAATTCCCGTTTTGAATGAACAGCAAGTTAAAATTTATGAATGCGTCTGTGGGGTCGACCGCTGGATGTAATGGACTTAGTCGAGGACGGGTTGTCTCCGGAGTCCACCGTGAACCCCAAAATTCCATTAAGGTTTCTTCTTAATACACACAGTTATCAGCAACGAATATGTCTTATTGCACACGACACACACGATCTGCACTATATACTCGTTCTGATAAAGCTTATTATCTCCAGAATCTTACGATCACCACTACAATCTTACTATCTCCACTACAACCTTACTATCTCCAGTACAACCTTACTATCTCCAGTACAACAATACTATCTCCACTACAACAATACTATCTCCACTACAACAATACTATCTCCACTACAATCTTACTATCTCCACTACAACCTTACTATCTCCAGTACAACAATACTATCTCCACTACAACAATACTATCTCCACTACAATCTTACTATCTCCACTACAACAATACTATCTCCACTACAATCTTACTATCTCCACTACAACAATACTATCTCCACTACAACAATACTATCTCCACTACAACCTCACTATCTCCACTACAACAATACTATCTCCACTACAACCTCACTATCTCCACTACAGCCTCACTATCTCCACTACAACAATACTATCTCCACTACAACAATACTATCTCCACTACAATCTTACTATCTCCACTACAACAATACTATCTCCACTACAATCTTACTATCTCCACTACAACAATGCTATCTCCACTACAATACTATCTCCACTACAACAATACTATCTCCACTACAATCTTACTATCTCCACTACAATCTTACTATCTCCACTACAACCTTACTATCTCCACTACAACAATACTATCTCCACTACACACTTACTATCTCCACTACACACTTACTATCTCCCCTACACAGTTACTATCTCCAGTACAACCTTACAATCTCCACTACACACTTACAATCTCCAGTACAACCTTACTATCTCCACTACACACTTACTATCTCCCCTACACACTTACTATCTCCAGTACAACCTTACAATCTCCACTACACACTTACAATCTCCAGTACAACCTTACTATCTCCACTACACATTTACTATCTCCACTACACACTTACTATCTCCCCTGCACACTTACAATCTCCAGTACAACCTTACTATCTCCACTACAACCTTACTATCTCCCCTACACACTTACTATCTCCACTACACACTTACAATCTCCAGTACAACCTTACTATCTCCAGTACAACCTTACTATCTCCCCTACACACTTACTATCTCCAGTACAACCTTACCATCTCCAGTACAACCTTACCATCTAACCCATCCACCACCTTCCCACCTAACCCACACTCAACCCACCATTCCCAAAACTAACCCACACACTTAGAAAGTTAAACCCTAACCCAACACCTTCGTCCTCAATGGAGGCTAAGACCGGCTCTCTTTCTCTCTTTTTTTTAACACTTCCAACCTCACTAAATTTTTTTCATCTCGGATATTATTTTCAGCTTAATCATCGCAGATGATGTTTTTGCAAATTTCCTTCAGAATGGATAAGGAAAAGGACAACCGACTTCCCGAAGTCGAGGACTCGTCCGACGACGAAGATTATTTGACTATCTCCCTCCCATCTGCAGAGGATCTCCGGAAAATCAGAGACAGGGTGATTCTGAACAGCAAATTCCACCAGCGGTTCCGGCAGAACACGGCCCAGAAGACGGTGAAAAGTGCACCCGCGCTGCCTCCCTGCCAACCTCGTGTCCAGGTTGATAGCACACGCATGCCACAACTTCAGGTGCCATCACTAGGTCAGATGAAGCCCTCTTTCAAGGTCATTCCCCAGGACAATACTGACCTACGCCAACCTCGTGTCCAGGTTGATAGCACACGCATGCCACAACTTCAGGTGCCATCACTAGGTCAGATGAAGCCCTCTTTCAAGGTCATTCCCCAGGACAATACTGACCTACGCCATTTTCTCACCGCTGTTAAGCTTACCGAAGCACCTCGACCCATTTCGGAGAGACTGTCCTGTCCTGGGGACAGCCGGAAAAGGTTTGAGAGGGACTGGCATGGACAGACTAGCCAGGGAGGGAATAGGAACGGTATGACCCAGAAGCGTTCCCGGCTTGAACACCGTCTTGGGCCCGCAGTCACAACCGAACGCATGTCAGAAAGGCTCTACTACGGCAATGAAAGCCACGGCAATCGGCGTTGTAGCGTTAAGCAACGGCTTGGATACTGAGCGTTAAGCAACGGCTTGTGTCATGTAACTGTACACCCTGTAATTAAATAAATAAATAAATAAATAAATAAATAAATAATAAAAAAAAAAGTGTGTGTGTGTGTAATTACCTAAGTGTAGTTACAGGATGAGAGCTACGCTGGTGGTGTTCCGTCTTCCCAGCGCTCTTTGTCATATAACGTTTCGAAACTACTGACGGTCTTGGCCTCTACCACCTTCTCACCTAACTGTTCCAACTGTCTACCACTGTTTGCGATAGTGGGTCTTCTAATGTTTTCTCGGCGGCTTTGTTCAATTAGTTTTAACCTATGTTTTCTTGTTCATGAAGCTGCCATTTTTTAAAACTTCCTCGTCAATTTTAGTCGTTTCCTGTTACTTATCATATCTCCTCTCTTTTTCTGTTATTATCCAGCTGGTACATTTAACGGTGCCAACCTCTCCTCGGTAGAGCGGCGGTCACGCTTCTTTCAAGTCGGCGTTCAATCCCCGACTGTCCACAAGTGATTAGGCACCATTCCTTCCTTCTTTCCTATCCTAAATTCTTATCAACATATTCTTTCCAATTGTTACACAGTATAGTCGAAATGGCTTAGTGATTTCTCCTTATAATTACCTTACATTTTGTTTTTCAGTTCCAGAAGCCATTTAGTTGGATGTCTTTGCACCTTTTCTGGCTTAGTGATTTTTTTTTTAATATAGGCACCATACAACGCTGCATATTCCACTTTTTGTCTCACAAAGGTTGTGAATAAATTCTTTAATATTTCGCCATCCACGTATATAAAAGCTATACTAAAGTTGGAAAGTGTAGCATAGACTCCTATCTCATGTGTGCTTTATGTGGTCTTCAGGTGACAGTTTTGTTATCCAGAACCACCCCAAGATCTCTTTATCAGACTTCTTTAAAGTCTTTTCACAAAATTTGTAGGTTGTATGTGTCCTATTTCCTCCTATTCCACATTCCATAACGTGGAATTTATTCACATTAAATTCCGTTTGCAAAGTGTTGCTCCATACACATATTTCGTCCCAGTCTTCCTGAAGGGCAGGATAATCATCTTCCCCTATTATCTTGGCATCATCAGCAAATATATTCATATAATTCTGTGTTCCCTCTTGTTGATATAGACAATGAACATAACTGGTGCTAGAACTGAACCCTGTGGTACTCCGCTAGTAACGCTTCCCCCTGTCTGATTGATTCATTTCTTATGATTACTGCTTTCAATTTTCTGTCTGAAAATATTGTCATTCATTTCAAAGTATCCTTGTCAATCCTCCAGCAAATTCCAGTTTCCAGAACAATTTTTTATGGATTGCTGTCAACCCAAGTTATAAATGCAGTCAACCCAATCATCTCTCTGTAAAAGCTTTGTGAGTATGAAGTGTGTGTGTGTGTGTGTGTGTGTGTTTTTCACCTAGTTGTGCTTGCGGGGGTTGAGCTCTGCTCTTTCGGCCCGCCTCTCAACTGTCAATCAATCAACTGTTACTATTTTCACACACACACACACACACACACACACACACACACACACACACACACACACACACACACACACACACACACACACACACATTAGCGAAACTTAAATGGTCTCCAAGCACATATGTCTGTTACACTCTATTGACCCCTCAGGGGATTCGAACCCAGGCCGCCCAACCAGCCTGTTTGGGTTGTTTTGGTTGGGATCAGGGAGGTGCTTGGCAGAGGTAGGGAGGAGGTGGGGGGATTGTTTGGCAGGGAGTTAGAAGTGGGGGGAGGGGTTCTTGTAGGTGGGGTAGGGATAGAGGGGGTTTGAGATATGGGGGATGTTAGGCGACTAGGTTGGGGGGGGGGGGGGTTGCAAGGGATAATAGTGAGAGAAAATGGGTGTAGCACAATAGGGAAATAGGGAAATAAATTGGGGTCAAAATAGAGAGGAGGGGGGGAGGGAAGAGAGGTTATGGAAGTATGGGGTTGCTTGTCTTCAGTATCTGAGCTTCCATGGGGAGGTGGCACAGTAGCGCAGAGCCCAGTAATGGAGAGGGGTGCACAGTAGCTGGGTAGGATCACAGTAGCAGGGAAGGTTCACAGTAGCAGGGAAGGTTCACAGTAGCAGGGAAGGTTCACAGTAGCTGAGAAGGTTCACAGTAGCAGGGAAGGTTCACAGTAGCTGGGAAGGTTCACAGTAGCTGGGAAGGTTCACAGTAGCAGGGAAGGTTCACAGTAGCAGGGAAGGTTCACAGTAGCTGAGAAGGTTCACAATAGCAGGGAAGGTGTGCAGTAGCGTTTCCTACCCCCCCCCCCCTCCCCTCCCTAAATCTACTGCAACTGATAAACAATAAAATCTATTCACTAAATCCTAACTCTACCTCTTACCAACATGGCGTGTAAAAAAAATCCCTATTGCTGCTCTACAAACGTTTCACTTTTCATTTTCATTTCGACTATATAGCACTTGGAAGGGGGTCAGGATAAGGATTTGGGATGGGACGGGGGTAAAGGAATGGTGCCCAACCACTTGGTGGACGGTCGGGGATTGAACGCCGACCTGCATGAAGCGAGACCGTCGCTCTACCATCCAGCCCAAGTAGCTGTTCCATCCTTTTCAGGATGGAACATTAGCAAAAATATAAGTCCATGGAATTCCACTAGAGACGCTTTCAGTTTTCCCAAAATATTTCATACATAATAACCCAAGTAGCAGGTTCGTATCTCACATAAGCTACACCCAAAAATAATATAATTTAGCCCGACAAACCCCCAAATTCAGTATAGAACATAGCTTAAACAAATCCCTTTTTTTTTTACTACTTAAGCTTGTCCATGTTCCATAAATTCCTTGGAGGTCATGACCTGGTAAGAATTACTTTTTAGAACGTCTTAGGAGCCAGCCTGGCTAAGGACCTTCGCGGCATGCACCGGTCCATTCAAGGTCAAGCCAAGCCATCTTCGGGGCTGGTTCATCGCAGACCTCCCTCCCCCCCCCCACTCCCCCCTCTATGAGCCAAATATGTTGGGACTATTTATAAAGACTGCCTCCAATCGCCATGTATGTTTTAAGCTGTCCGGAGTTTACTTGGTAAAAAGGATGGGAAGAATTTTACCAAAAACACTTATACGGCCAGTAATAGTATGCGTGTGTGTGTGTGTGTGTGTGTGTGTGTGTGTGTGTGTGTGTGTGTGTGTGTGTGTGTGTGTGTGTGTGTGTGTGTGTGTGTGTGTATTTACCTAGTTGTTCTTGCGGGGGTTGAGCTCTGCTCTTTCGGCCCGCCTCTCAACTGTAACTAACTACTAACTAATTTTTTTCCCCCACACAGAAACACACCCCAGGAAGCAGCTCCGTAACAGCTGTCTAACTCCCAGGTACCTATTTACTGCTAGGTAACAGGGCCATCAGGGGTGAAAGAAACTTTGACCATTTGTTTCTGCCTGGTCCGGGAATCGAACCCGGGATACAGAATTATGAGTCCTGCGCGCTCTTCGCTCAGCTACCAGACCCCCCCCCCCCCAAGAGTCTGTGTGTATGTGTGTATATCACTTAGAAATTAACATGTGATGAGTAATGTAGCTAGACCACGAAGGAAGATAGGAAATTCCTTAAGTACTTTCGTATATTAACCAATACATCTTGAGAACGATAGATATTACACGTGATTGATTGATGAAGATTAAGCCACCCAAGAGGTGGTAAGAATAGCCCGTGATAGGATATTACAAGTTGTTGTTGTTTTAGATTCAGCTACTCGGAAGGAAATGTCCATGTAGCACGGGCTATGGTGATCCCGTAATTCTATTACAAGACTGATGATAAAGATTAAGCCACCCCCAAGAGTCTATTACAATGTTGTTTAAGACTTAAAGTTTGTTAGTTTGCTACTGGGAACAAAAAGTTCCTAGTAGCACGGGCTATGGTGAGCCCGTAGTGGACTTACCTGGCACGGGATCGGTGTTGTGTGTGGATTACAAGATTGATGAAGATTAAGCCACCCAAAAGGTGGCACGGGCACGAATAGCCCGTAAGTGGTGGCCCTTTTGAGCCATTACCAGTATCATTTATCAATTAATCATCTTGTAATATCCATCCTTATCAAGATGTATTGATTAATTTATGAAAGTACTTTAGGAAATTCCTGTTTCATTTATTCCTTCTTGATTGACAAGTGTCACATTATATAATAATATATATTATATATATATATATATATATATATATATATATATATACACACACAAATTTTCACAATATATCTGGATAATAAACACACAATATTCATTTTATGATGTCTAAAGTAATCTATTTACATACATGACATGAGAGTCACTAAATAGGAAGACAAATACTGTTTAGAATATATAAATACAATAGGTAAATACAACAGTAAAATAATAATCTCTTTAGAGAGAGACATGGAACTTAACAATGCAACATTCTTGTTTTTCATCCTTATACAACAAGTAGTAATAATAGTCTGGATTGTACTATTAACTAAGTAGTTGTACTACTGTATTAGCAATAGCCACAACAGCACTTACAGAAGTAACAATGGAATAGATTATGCTGTAGTTGCACTGTTGAAAATAACAGTAGCTGCGGTTGTTATAACAACAGTGGTGGCTATTGTTTCTGTGGTAATAACAGTGTCAGTGATAGGTTGTATAGATGCAGACGCTGTTGTTGTTGTTATAGATTCAGCTACTCGGAACAAGTTCCAAGTAGCACGGGCTATGGTGAGCCCGTTGTGGACTTACCTGGCACAGGAGTGGTGCGTGATGTGTGAGATGCAGACGGCGAGTTACGACTATATAGCACTTGGAAGGGGTCAGGATAAGGATTTGGGATGGGACGGGGGGAAAGGAATGGTGCCCAACCACTTGTAATCCCCTCTGAGTGAGTATACCTATTTCTCCCATATTACATAGTCTTAATAAATTATCTTTAATGATAAATATTTTTGCCGATTGAACGTTTCCAATATCAATTTCCGCGTTCAAAATTTTTTCGCGATTTGAGTGTATTTGCGTCTATAAATTTATAAAATAAATCCCTATTATT